AAAATCAATTAACAAACGGAGACGTAACAATATCAACCAGACCGTATCTGCAACATCCATAGCTGACAAGGCCTTTCGCTCAATACAGTTACCACGCACGTGGTACGTATAGGAAATGAAAGAATTATTCTTTACTACTTAGTTTCAATATATCAATGAAAAATCTTCTTATTCTAAATATTTTAAAATATTGTATTCATGAAAAAAATCTAAAAGATAGAAACACAAACCAAAAAAAAAAACTTTTTGATTGCTTAGATCGATTATGGAAAATATAATATTTTTACACTAGTTCTTTAATTAGTTTGTAAATTTGATATATCAAAAAGGTTTATGTTTGTAATTTTATAATTATCATGGTTAAAACAATGTACAATCATTGCTTGATCAATGTGACGCATATTTTTTTTTCTGGGAAATTATAGTTTAATTTTAATGATGATGATGACGTTTGTAATTAAGCACAAAGCTACACAATGGACTATCTGTGCTCTGCCCACCACGAATATCGAAACCCTGTTTAAAACGGTATAAGCCTGCAAACTTATCACTGTGCCGCTGTGTGGTGCGTGTAGAGGGGGCTACAAATTAAAGATGGAATAACTGTCGTATTTTAACATGCATTGGAATTTTTAAATCAACCTTTGTGTCAGCGATAAACTCTAGAAGTCGAGTTCAAGCTAGTTCAAAATCAGAATCACTATCCTACACAATAGAAGATACACATCTTTTTTAGACTGTTTTATCTAAAAATATCATACATAAAATAAATTTATTTTGCGAGGATTTGTTGGATAATTTTTAAACATGAAAAGTTTCACTTGATTTATTAAAAAAGTGATCCTTGTATATGTGATACAAAATAGTACCACGCATTTGCTAATCATTTTTCGAAATTTCTATTTTTCTTTTGGTTCACTTTGGATACAGAAAGTCTCTCAAGCAAATGTATCTAACTTTTTTTTTTATTCCACCTCTGCCCGGGACTTGATTCACTAATTGACAATTAGCTGCATTTTCTTGCAGGAAAAGAAGCTCGTAATTTCTAATAATAAAAAGTTGTATTTTCTGTCGGTGAATCGGGCAACGGTCTGGTACTGTCACATCGTTGCGCTTGAACGAGGGTTATGTACACGATGAGTGTTTCGTGAGAAGTCTGACTGACTCGGTTATTCGTTAATTTGTTAGTATCTAAAGCCATGTTCTTCTCTGTAACTTAATATTCAAGAGTAACTGTAACTTAGCTTTGGGAAGAGACAACATAGATTTTATTATGATTTTAACTTTGTTTTCGTTTTAGATATCACTTTAACTCACTGTGCGAGCTCTTTCTTGTTTTTTTTCATTTATTTTAAAGTTGGGGGTTCATTTTCATACTGCCATTTAACTTTTTTTTTGCCTTACATGGGGGGGGGGAGGAGGGGAAGACTCACACTGGACTGGTGAAAGAGCTCACTAAATGTCACACTTCATTGCTTTCTCTCGCCAGTTCAACACATTCATTACAAACATTCTTGCCCTTGTTTTGTTTCCTTGTATTGTGTTTTTCTGTCTTTTGTTTTTAAACATTGCAGTTATCCACTTTTGTATTTTGGCTATTTCTTTACGACAAACTCAGTTGGAGTTACAGAGTAACAGACTCTGTTGTTTAGTATCCGTCGGGCTTCCAATTAGCGGACCACACTCTTGCTCCATGGCAAATCAATGTGCAGAAATATGCCACAAAAAGTCCGATCTAAGCATAGTTTTGGCTCTGAAAAGTAGATTGTTTCTGATAATTGTATTTGTAATTTCTAAAG